CTTGCGTCGCCTGTCCCGCTGTCTGGTATTTGCATGTTGGAAAGTGGAGCCACCTGGACTCCCGCGGCAAACTTGGGATCCCGGGATAGATTGAGCTGAAGAGCTGAGGAAGCTGCTTCAGCAGTTCGCTTGGTGGGAAAATCAGACGTACTGCTCTTGGCTTGCTCCCAAGCTCTTGCTTTCCTAAGGAGCAATAGGTCACCACAATCACAGAGTAGCAGCAGCATATTAGAGACCCTCCTATGTTGACTCTGGTTATTTTCACTCAAATGTACTTCGGCTCGTAGTAGTCAAGCCTAACAAATCCAGATATGTAGCACAGTTGGATAGAGCATGTTGATAATAATGTTTTATTTACCCTTGTTTTACTGTTACACTGACTTTAGGGAATAGGCTTTTTCTTCCATCTTATTCTGTTTAATGATTTAGGTTTTAACTTCAGGCGGATATTGAGTAACTCAGTATAAAACATTCAGAATGATGAAAACACTTGGAAAATAAAGGATGAAAGTTAGTCATAGTTTGGTTTCTGATAAAGCAAAACAGGATGAACTGAACAGAGTTTGACTTGCATTTAAGCTTTGATATTATTTTAATTGTGTGTGGCTAATATAGTTAGTTGGTGGAAAATATTCCATTTTCTGGAAGAGTAAATTCACACAGAACAGAAGTATCTCAGATTTAAGATCAGATTTTTTTCAAGATTTTCTCAGATATGAGAAAAGCAAGTCTGTTTTTAGGAATGTCAAAGTGTAGCTTACATTTTGAGGATCAGGTTACGTAGGTAGAAGTCTGTTATAGAAGGTTCAAGGGTGAAAATAAGATTTCTGGCCATTCACTTTCATCGTGCTTTGAGTTTTGCTATTTAAAGGAAATAAATAATTAAATGATTATGTTTACTTATCAAGGGAGAGGCACTGTCTGCCTTTTGGTGTCCTGTGCATGGGCGCATCTGCTGCCAGCATCTGCTGCCATGGCCTTGCAACCAAGCACTGCAGTTTCCCTTTAAGCAAGTGACTTTTAACATATACCATAGCTTTTTCAGGAACGTGTGACCCCTTATTATTGGTGACCCTGCAAACCATTGTGTAATCTGTTGACTGTAATGCACTATGCCAATTTATTCTTGGTTGGAAAGTCTTGCCAAGGACTTGATGGAATAGCATGATTTTATCCACTTTATTGTTTTCATTGTGTTTCATAAACATCTAAGACCCTCTGGGAAGAATCACTGGAGCGGCTGGGCCTCCAGATTTTAATTGCTGGTTAAATAAATGTTGCCAGTTAAGAGAAAAAAAAAGTGGTATGCAGGATCTCAGAATGCCTGGAACTGCTAAATGTATTCATATTTAGGAAGCAGGCTTATTTTTAATAGGAGCATTTAAAGAAAAGATACTAGTTCCTCCTAAAGAGGTCACTGTTAAGTGTGCTGAAGAGCGTGCTTTTAACTGGAGGGAAAGAACAAGTTTCCCACAGCTGAAGAACGCAATCTGTACTTTCCCACTCAGCTGAAGAGAGAGAGAGGTTGGGCTTCTTGTTACCTTACAGTAGTAGCAGTGAGTAGATCTGAATTCTTATCACACAGAAGAAAACCCTTCCTCATTTTGGTGAGACACTTAACTTTCTGCTTCTCTCCTGCTGTAAAGGGTACAGTTCTCTTGAAACCTTCCAGTGAATGTCTTAGCCCAGGGGATAGGGAGCTGAAAAGACATTTCATGCTTTGAGAGGGGCTGGGAACTGGCAGCTGAGAATAGTATATACCTCTTTAAGGGATCTGTATTTCTAGGATGTTGCAAGTGTCTTGAATGGACCTCTGTCTGCCTTCCATAGCCAGAACTAAAAGAGAAAGGGTAAAAATTATAAATAAGTACTTTAGAAGCTGTGTGAATCTGGGATCCTAAATCAGTTTTAAATTTGGGACTGAGAACTCAATCAGTTTGGATCCACTGAAGATTGTCTTCAATGCCTCTGCCCAGAAAATAGACACTTGCCTTTAGGGGCTTAGTACTGGCTTGAGAGAGTGTGGTTCAGGTCAAAATTATTACTGTTTGTTAGATCCATTGTATAGTCTATGGTGTCTTGATGGATCATTTAACCCAGTTTCCTGCAGGACAGTGGATTTAAATCTGGACTGATCAGACATTTAAAATGCACCACATGATACCCGAGTTGAATTAATTTTTAATGCAAACTTAATAGATGTCTTGTTTAACATAAGTTCAATTTAGATTACAAATTATTATTTTTTTTTAAGTGCCAAATGCCATATCTGTTAGTTTTGTCTCTGTGCTGTAGTGTGCGGAACTGCTGCTATTTGGATTTTTTGGTCTGTAGTGGGATTTAGTTGGCAGTGTTGATAGAGGCAAGTTTGGGGAACTGAATCCAAATATTTACATTCTGAATTTGGCCTAGTCCTTATACTTGTAAACACTCACAGTCATATTGAACTTTGGTGAGGTTTTAAGTGGCTTTGCCAGACCTTTTAGAGTCACACCCTACAAGAACTGTAATTCCCCTTCTAGAAATGGTTTTGAGTGTATTTTTCAGGTGTATATATGTCTGCTGAGAGCTGGTACTTGTCACTCTTACCCCTGATGTGACCGTGCAAAATCTCTTGCTGTATCTTGCTCCCTTTTCACATGGAGTGCCATACTCTGGGGAGATCGGTCAAGTTAAATGCCAACCTAGGAGGTGCAGCGTGGGCTCTAGACATGCTGGCCTCCTGAGCAGCCTTCCAATGAAGGATCTACTCCCACTGTAGTTACTATTCTCCTGATCCTTGCTTTGTACCTGGACATATGTACATGGACAGAAGTAATGTTTGAGGAGTGATTTGAATGATGAGGGTATTTCTTTCCCCAAAATTGGACTCCCTTTTCATTCATAGAAGCTTTGAACAGCTGCCAGGTTTATTAGCAAATTTCAATTGCAAGGAACCATTTGAGCCTTAATGTTTGGTTCTGCATTGAAGAAGCTGAACTTTAATAAAGTCCATTTTACTACTAACTAACTGAAGAGTTAGGAGTCAGCTACTAAGTTAATACCTTGTGGCCAGACTGTTCTATGACATGCGTATGACCTTTCTTTTGGATCTGTTAACCAGAATTTGAAATTTGAAGTGATAGTTTAGTGGCAAACAGCTAGAGACTATAGATGCAGGTTACTGAGTTACAGTGAGAGCGGCTACTCATCATCTGTGTTCTCTAACCATGCCTGTATCCTTAGTCTGCCCTGATTTTGAAGACTACTGCATTAACTTAACCCCCAAGAAAAATGTTTAAAATATTCTGACTTTATATCTGGAGTATAAACCCAGGTAGTTAGAACTGCTCAGATAAACAAATGCCCATTCTGCTTTAAGGCTCTAATCTTGAAGATGCATTTGTTAGAATTGAGGGTCATAGGACAAGATTAGGTGATCATTTTGACACCATCTTTCACCATTCTTTGAAAACATGTTTGAGTGAAATCTTTCTGCTGAAAACTTGTCAGCCGCGGCAATATATCTGAAACTTCAGTGAGTTCGTGCAAATGGAAAAGTCCTTAAGGACATGCTGAAAGCACAGCGAATTTTTGTCAGAAATGAACACTATGTGTACGTGCATACACAGAAACAGGATGTTATTGCAGTTTAAATATATCTGTCTCCTAATTTCTCTTTAAAAAGAAGATGTAAAAATGCTTGATGTGTGGACATGCAGTGTTAGCACTGTTGCCAACACAGGAAACTAGGTCTTTGAGTTGAAACATTTAGCCTCATTCCCTAACTCCCATGTTATTAAAAATGTTCTTTTCAAAAGTTCGAATATTGTTACTCATTTCATTATTTTGACAAGGTCACCACACTGAATTAATAGTTTGCTTCCCCCCCCCCGACAAACACACCCGCCTTGAAAAAGCATCAGTTGTCTTCATGGAGCATCCAGTCACAATCACAAGAGACTGATGCTAATTAAGTAGCATTGGGCCAAGTGCCCTGCTCAGTCGCGTAGTGCAAATATTAATGCAGAGATCCAAGTACTTTAGGAGAGCAGCCCTGGAAAATCTTGCAACCCTTTCTTCAGTGAGGGTGTTGATCCCAGCAAGGAGCTGGTAAGTAAGTGTTCCAGATGCAGACTCTCTTCTGTGTTCTAGAAAATACTTTATGCTGAGAGATCTCTCTCTGGACTTTTTTTTTTTTTTTCTTGAATTGTTACTTCTTTGAGGAGGTACAAATAGTTTCTGCAAGAAAGGGCAGAATGTATGAGAAGTTCTAACGGTTTTGATCCTGTGTCCTGGTGGAAGCTCTTATCACTCAAGGTCACTGCAGAAGAAAATATACGTGACCTGGATTCATGCAAAGTGCGTGGGCAAAGTGTACTAAAGAAAAATGGAGAGTATTGATTCTGAGCGTGTGAGAAAATGCTCATGTCATTTGTGCTACAAGGCTATAATGTTTTGAGCTTCCAGTGTGCCTCATCTTTTAATCCTGTCTCTAGTCTCAAAAGATCCTTTCAGTCAGTGTTGCTCAAGTGAGTTTTGTAATTGGGAATATCAATTTGAAGATATGGCAGATCAGCAAATTGTAAAAGCCTCTCAAATTTTCTATATGATGGCGAGGTCTGATTATTTCCCCTGTTAAGCAGCAAAATGAACAGCAGTTTCCCATCACAGTTTGTGTTCTGCTGCCTGAAATGCTCCATTCGCTAATTTTAGTCCTTGAGCAAAACATGTCTCCTTTCACCCAAACCGAATAAGAATCAAAAGAGGTGAGGTCAGAGTGGAAAGGGCAAAAAGGGATCAGAAAGAGAAAAGGCTTAAATCATCTGAAACTTCCTGTAGGCTTTATGTAAATGATTACTTAATCTATAAAATAACTAAAACAGCATTCAATAGTTGAGGGTACAAATCACGCACCTTTAGGTTTGTGTGGGAGTCATCAAAAGGAGCAGGGGCTTAAGGATTATGACCAGAAGCCCTTTTATTGAGCATCTCTAAGTATGTAAGCATACAGTGTCCACGCGCTCCCTCCCCCTGCCTTCAGCCAATTCCTTGACTCTGTTGCTATCTGGGTCCAATCCCAGACAACAGGAAAACAACCAGAGATCGGTGCGTCCAGCCTGTGTTTTAGGTTTCTGTATCTGCTAATCTGTTGTTCCTAACTTTCACAGTTTCTCACTCCTAACTTTCACTGTTCCCATAGCTTCCCACAGTGTCTCACGGTTTCTCAGTTTCCCACAGGTTTGTATGCATTTTTTTCTGTGTTTTACAGATCTATCCATCACCATTTCTCCTGTACAACCGAGTAAATCGATTAATTGTATTAAAAATTTTCCATGAAGGCAGTGATTGCATACATTAATATTTTCCATGATTTACTCTGCCCTAATCTCATGCTTAAACACAGGTCATAACAAACACCCTCAAAGTCAGTTGCTCTGACTTATCCTGGGTGGGTTAAGGCAGCCCTAATTCTGTAGTTTGAAGCCAAGTAAATAAGATACGTTGCTATTGTGTGGTACATGTCCGTACGTGCAGTCACACTGTGCAAGTACCTGTGTCCTATATGGTGAGACCCGAGGACTCTCTTGTTCTTTGCAATAGCTGTAAAGAAGATGTGTATTTCATACTCAGAACAAGCATAAGGCGTGCTGCTATTCAGTCCCTCTTGTCTGCCCTGTGGAGACAGAGCACTTCACTGTGGTGAGTTTCTTTCTTCTGTTTGGCAGATGTTTGGTGTTTGTTCATTGTTCTGAATAGCCTGGATTGCTTCCCTGAAAACGATGTTTTTGCTTGACTTGCAAGGGCTGGATCCTCTGTGTGCCTGCCCTGGGGATAGCACTATTCCATGTTCTTTTACACCTAGAATAGGGAAGAATCAAGCCCTGGCAACTTTTGCTGTTTTGAGTAAGGCAGACGTGGCTGGGTCTAGGCTGCCATGGCTGCCCTTAGCTATATTAGACCTATGCAGTGACACAACTGTGATTGCCCTGGTTTGGCAGGGCAGACCTGAGGGTGTCTTCCAGCCCTCTCTGCTCATTTCATATTCTCACTCTGCCCATCACCAGTGCCAGGGGTTGCTGCTGAAGGATTTCTTAGTGGCTCAGTACTTCATTTTCTCCTGAGCTGCACCTTCAGAGGCTCCTGCTGCCAGAGTTGCAGAGCAGCTGCTCTTTTTCTGCCAGGACCTCTTCATGGGAAGATGAGAGTAAATGGCCCAGCAATGAAAATGCTCTCACCTCAGATTCCTTCCATTTTACATATCAGTAGCGTTTTATATAAACCCCTGTACTTCAGGAAAACTTGGCTGTTAACTCCCAGGAAAGCGTTTGTCATTCTTTTCTGTTTGGCTTCTCTTTTTCTTCTCGCTCTCTATCCGGGTTATATGTGGATGTGGGATCTAGCTCTTGTGGAACCCATTTAAACTTTGGTTTGCAGTTTATCAGAATCTGTGAAAGGGTAAGTGGTAACAGACAGATAGTGAGCCTTTCAGCTTCATGTCCGTTGTATATAGTCCCTGATAGCAGCTGTTTGAGCAGCAAGAAGGCAGCTGGTGGTATGTGCCTCTGCTGTTCAGTGTAAAACATTATAAAAGTGTTGCTTTGCATGAAAACCATGTAGTTACTGTGGACTAATGGGAACTCCCTCCAAGTTAAAGCCCTGCTAGCTGTAGAGCACTTGATACATATTCTACGTTATTATTTCTCTTCAAGCTAGATCACAAGTGCTGGGCTGTTTTTCTAAAGTTCAGTTTTGCATTTGCTTGAGTACCAAGCAAATGTCAGACTGTGTGTTGCTCCCTAAAAGCAGTATCACATAGTGAAGACACAGCTTGAATTTTGGCTTTGTTTGTCACAGAGTTCTCTCCCTGCAAGACAGTTAACCTTTGAGTTGGTCAAACTGATGGAGATGTTGATGAATGTGGAAATAAGATGATGACTCCCAAATGAAACACAGGGGATGTGACATTGTTAGTGGCAAGCATGTGCTTCAGAGAGAGAATAACAGTGTAGGCTAAAATGTTGTGAGGAAAAAAGTCGTCCTTTTGTTCATCCATCCACCTACCTCTCTGAAATTAACTGCCCCCTAGGAGGGATCAGGATATATGGCTGAGGGGAAATGATTGTCTCCTCTTTTAAGCTGGGTGGATCATTGTCTGTCGTTTTCTTCTTTTTTTTTTTTTGTTTTTTCTCTGCCAAAAGAAATACTGAAGAGGTTAACACCCAGCAAGATAGCACAAACTATTAGAAAGATGAGAAATTTACTTTTTGCCCTAGATGAAATTGACTTCTGAAGAAAATGGTTCACTTTGTTTCCATTCTTTTTAGCAGAGGGCATAGTAATACTCAGAGAATATGAGATGCACCAGGCTGTAATTTTTGGCATACTAGTGTTGACCCAGAATGCTGTGGACAGACAGAATGTGATGAAGGGAAGAATCTGGCCTGATCTTCTACAGAGCTTTTTGCCCTTGAGGAATGTATCTGAAGTACCAGGGTGGCGGTGTGCTCTGGAAAGACAATGTCTAAGTTCAACGATACATTAATTTAGGAAATTGAAATAGGTAGTGAATTTTGAGGGACACACATGTTCATGAGCCCATGGATAATGGATAAAACAGAGGGAATCCAGCTCTGGATAACTTACTGCTTTGTCTTGGACCAAAGCTTCCTTTTCCCTTTCCTATATGCTTTGTAGCAGAACAGGTTGGCAGTTGTGTCTGCTTATCCAGCCCAGATAAACATATAGTCAGAAGGTTAGCTGGGGTGGGGACCACACAAAACGGTGATTGGGACCAGGTGAATTATCCCAGCATATAGGCAACTCTTGCTAACCTAGCACTCCACTCTTGGCTGTGACTTTTCAAATTGCTTCCAAGTCTATCTCTTTTTTTTTTTTTTAATCTTTTGTTGTCTTGTTTGCCAAAAGGTAAAAGGCAAAATACCTCTTATCTGTCTTGAATGAAGATTTTTTTTTTTTTTCGTTTTCAGAGGTCTAAATGTTGGATGTTCAGCGTGAGGTTTTTTTGATCCCAGCCTCATTGACAAATAAGCCCTTGGATCAAAAAGTCTCACGCTGAACATCCAACTTTCAGTAAGTCCCTTTGTTAGTCCCTGTGTATATATTGTACATATATGTATTATATATATGCATAATATATATCATACATGTATGCATCTATATATTCCTAACAAAGGGACTTACTTCCATAACCTCCAAAAAGCTGGATGCAGGAATCCTACACCTGGAACTAAGAGAGATATGTTACTTTCATCTCAGGATTTCATCATGTAGATTTTAAAGCCTAAACAGTGGTGGCTTCTGAAGCAAATTAGCATTAGTGGTTTATGGAGCGGTGCAAATAACAGAAATAACTGAAGTAGAATTCAGGCACATAATTAAAGTGTCCAAAAGATGAGATTCTGCAGCAATGTAGCATCTCTCATTTGTAAAACTCGAAGCATTAACAAAATGATAATGGATGAAAAAATTTACTTGTGGGAGATGAGGAAAGTAATGATACAGATGAAAAGGTAAACTGAGATAAAACTTTTTCTCTCCATTTCCATTTTTAAGATGGACTTAATTTCGTGAGGCAGAATTTTTTTTTCTCATCTCAAACTCTGAATACCCAGAATAGTGCTTTTGAGATGGTAACGCTGCTCTTCAGTCCTTCAGAAGGCTTTTTTAGACTACCAAGAGATTTCAAATTGCTTAATTTCCAAGGTTTGTGTGCTTAGATAGTGAGAATAGCGGGATACTTTAGGCTGATAATACAGTGCTTTCTTAAGTACGTAGTGACAAATATATATATAGAGAGATATTGTATCTTGAAAAGTATGAGTATTTATTTATTTATTTATTTATTTATTAAGTTATCCTTTTCAGTTATAAACCAGCAGATAGGTTGCAACTGCTAGTTTTTTTTCCTTGCTGAAAAGCTGTATCAGAAGCAAAGAAGCACTGGAATATGTTAGTATGCAGCCCAAGTTTACCTCTTATGTAAAGTATATCTGTCATTATTATTCAAAAGATAATGAATTATCCATATAATTTCACAAATATTCCAAGCAGCATTTTCTGCATGCTAGCCAAGTTAGCTGTAAAACCCATTTGCTGCCCAGAGAGGTTGTGGAGTCTCCTTCTCTGGAGATCTTCAGAACCCACTTGGACACAGTCCTGTGCCACGTGCTCTAGGTGACCCTGTGTGTGCAGGGGGGTTGGACTAGATGATCTCTAGAGGTCCCTTCCAACCTTAAGCATTCTGTGAGCACCCTGTAGCCATTTGCTTGGTGTAAACGGAGCTTAGCTTTGATCCATAAGTGAGCAATGCAGGTATTTCAGTTATTGACTGGAGAAGACATGTTCTACCTTCAGAATTTCCTATATCCTATGATTGGTTCCCAACTTTCTACAACTTGCTAGATTCATAACTAGTGTAAAAAAGTGCCTGCTTTTTGTACAACACCTCTGAATTTTTTTGCAGCGCTTAGGAGAACTGGATGCTCATTTTCCACTAAGTTGTTTAACAGTATAATATAAGTGAGAATGTTCTTCTTGGAGGAACCTCACTATCTGCACCTTAGGAACATGATAATTAGGATGAGCATTGCACACAAAAATCAGCAATTTATTGTTTCTATGCTTTCTGTGCATAGAAGTTATTTACTTACCCACATATATACCTCTGCTGAAACGGAAAAGTACCTCTTTCTTAAAACAGTTTTATCACAGAACAGATGCTTTACTTATGTTCTTATCTCATATTCAGAATAAAAAGGTTTTGTTCTCTAATTTTCATGATTGGATACCCTTATCCCTTTGATTTTTATCTACTCTGGGAAGACCCATAAGATGAACTCGATCATATTTCTATAGAAGTGACTCATTTCTTTTACAGAAGCAGCTGCTATCAAGTGCAATGCCCTGGGTATGAACCCAGGTAAAGAGACATTGTTATGTAGTTGTCTCATGTTGTATTACTTTGTTGTTGAGTCACTTGGAGGCCCTCTCTAAGTTGTTTCATCACCTGTACCTTGGTTTCTATAAAGGAAACTTCAGTCTTCTCTAAGGTTTCTGGATCTGGATACTCCTGGCATCTGCACATTAAAGAAGTAGTTACTGGTGTTTGTATTAAGCTGTATGTTATGATGTATGTTCTGCATTTTGATACATTTCTTTCCTAACCTGGAGAAGATGTGAAACAGCTCACTGGAAGCTGATGGCAGTTTTGCAGTTACGTTTTAGTTATCAGAAGATTGAGCTTGAGAAGTGCCCATGATTTGAGAAAGTCTGAACCTAACAGGACAGTATCTTGTGTTTGTTCTGCACTGACACCTCTTGCCACCAAGCAAAGAAGAAGTGTTGACATTGGAAGGAGCTGCAGCCCTGCTCTTGAGCCCAGTGTGAGGTGAAACCCTGAAGGGAAGGAGCAGCAGTGATGTATGACCCAGAAGAGAATATTCAACGTAACTCTCTCAAAGTAGCTGGACCCTGCAAGGCACCTGACAACTTGCTAACTGCCAGCTTGGTGCCTCTGTTGCAGGCTGAAAGCAAACAGCCTTCATAGGCCTTTTGGAGCAGCGCTGCGCCACACAGAGGGGCTCTTAAAGTGCTTTTGTGACGATGCAGCAAAAGGTCTGACTTGCCTTCTTTTAGCACAGTTGTATTTTGTTTAAAGAAAACAGTGTGTGAGCATGTTTATAGTTAAACATGCTATGCAAGTATCTCATTTCACTGCTCTATGTAGCTGTTTGGCAGCTACCTAATATGAAATGCTGTATAGGTCATTCTTGCATACATACATATTGTGCTCAGAAGTTTTCAGGTGAAGGTTAAGTTGGGTTTTAAGCAGCACTTTCTCTGTAAAACCTTTCAGATCACGTTATTTTGTTCTTATACTTGGATTATGTAGGAATCGTCGATTAATTCTGCAGGTATGCAACCTGTTTGACTTGCTAGAGTGACTTCAGTCCCCTGAATCAAACCTAGGTTCAACCTTTGCAAAATACATTTCTGCACAGTTGTTCTTGGGCCCATCATATTGACATATGCGGCTACATAGTACAGCCAAAGAAGAGAATGCGCAGGTAAAGGATGCCTTGTTTACCCCCCTAGCTGTGCTGTGTTTCCTCAGTGTCTCTTAGGTCATGAGAAGCACCACAGCAGTCAGCTTCTTTCTGGTCCCCCCTGTTGTGAAGGGGACGCAGGCTGACTGTTGAACTGCTCCCTCTTCCTCCCCCAGTCACTTTTCTGGTCTTTCTCTACACTGATACAGATATTCATCTTCCCCAGGGCCTGGACCATGAGATGAGATATATCAATGGTAAAAGGAAGATTAGGCAAAACGTGGGTCTGCTGGTGAATGGCGTGGGTGCCCTGGTTATTAAAGACATGAAAGAAGCAGAGCTACTTAATGCCTTCTTTGCTTCAGTGTTTACCAAGGGCAGCCCTCTGGAATCCCAGACCCTAGAAACCAGAGAAGGTACCTAGAGAGAGGAAGACTTGCCCTGGGTAGAGGAAGAGGTCAGAGAGCACCTAGGGAAACTTGATATCTGCAAATCCATGGGCCCTGATGGGATGCACCCGAGAGTGCTGCGGAAGCTGGCGGATGTTATTGCTAAGCCACTCTCCATCATCTTCGAAAGGTCCTGGAGAAAGGGGGAGGTGCCAGAAGACTGAAAGAAAGCCAATGTCACACCAACCTTCAAAAATGGCAAGAAGGAGGATCCAGGCAACTACAGGCCGGTCAGCCTCACCTCCATCCCTGGAAAAGTCATGGAGCAGCTCATCCTGGCTGTTGCCTCCAAACATGTGGAGCATAAGAAGGTGCTCAGGAGTAGTCAGCATGGATTCATCAAGGGGAAATCATGCTCGACTAACCTGATAGCCTCTATGATGGAATGACTGGCCAGATAGATGAGGGGAGAGCAGTGAGTGTCATGTATGTGGATTTCAGCAAGGCTTTTGACACCATCCCTCACAGCATCCTCCTGGGCAAGCTCCGGCAATGTGGGTTAGATAAGTGGACGCTCAGGTGGATTAACAACTGGCTGGATGGCAGAGCCCAGAGGGTGGTGATCAG